CTTCATGATGTTTCTGAATATATATAGGATCCATGGCGTTTACAACACTCAGAATCCATATATATACATACATACATATATACATGCATATGCATGATGGATCCTCCCATGGAATTAATGCAAGCCTATCAATAGAAACCAGATTAGGTATCTAATGGAAAAACCTAATATTTATGGGACCTTTGATATATTTTTTTGTGGCATTAGCAACAAGCAACCAATTCTGTGATGCACTTTATTATACGACATTGCCAACTCAATCAAATCTGCACATCACAAAGCAGAAAGGTGAAGCTACTTACTGTTGCTGGGCCACCATGTCAATGTGCACTTCAGGTGGGGCAAGAGCTGGAGCCTCAACAAAGTGAAGATTGGGATCCCTAAAAGTACAGATTCAGGGTTAGCAAAATCCAACAATATAAAACAAACATCTCCCTCTTCTACAAATCTCCTGAAAGTATCAAACTTTTCTTTTAAAAAACAAGAAAATCAATTTTGCCTTTCACAATACTGACAATAGTTTCTTCCTTTTTTTTAATTATTACATAAATATTGTAGTACTAGGAAGTGGTAAACACCACACACCATGGTGTACAAACAGAGTCACATACAACTCCGTGTGCAGAGGGAAGGAGGGAGAGAGGTTGGAAAACGGGGAAAGTTTGTGAAGGGAAAAGCTCAATCTTATTATTCCATGGATGGTTTATCCCTCTCCATCCTTCTGTATTATACTTAATAGTGAATTTAGCCAAATGTAATTCTAACAGTAATTAACTCAAGCAGAAGTTTGTGGCATCGGAGATCAAACCATGAATTGCATAAATTTGACAATAGAAAAATAAATATAATTAAAACAAATTGAATATTTGTTTTTTTGGTTTTTTAAGTTTTAAGGTATTCTGTATTTTTTCTAATTTCCTCCAATATTATCCAGATAATCTAATTAAAAGAAAATTGAAGGTCTATCAACCAGTTATCTTGTCAAGTAATGATACTCTACTTTCTACTTCTTTAATTGACGACAAGGGAATCAGACGAACAAACCACAACAAAAATTTAATAATTCCAAATGGCTTGGCTACTGGATAGTAGAATATCAACCCCAATATATTGAAAAGAAGATCAGAAAAGAATTCAGTCTGCATAATACCCAGCGAGTTTCCTAGCGAGATACAGGAAAGGCTTTTCGAAGTTGTAGTTGCTCTTTGCAGAAATTTCATAGTACTGGAGATTCTTCTTCCTATGGAATGTGACTTGCTTCGCCTTCACCTGCCTATTCTTTACATCAACCTTGTTACCACAGAGAACAATCGGGATATTCTCACAGACCCTGTAATAACATATATCCATAAAAGAATGTTAATATGATACTACAACAATATAAATGAGGAACATGGTAGAGCACGGAACAAAGGGAGGGGGTGGGGGGGAGGGGGGTAGCGAGAGAGAGAGAGAGAGAGAGAGAGAGGAGGAGAAGAGTAGTGCAGTCGGTAAGAAACATACTAACAAGTACGGACACTATTTAACTTTTAACTAATTAAATAATACTACACGTCCGACCTAGTTACGGGTCGTCG